ATGTTTAGAATTTTTACATTTGAAATAAAAAAACTTCTTAAAATATAAAATTCACAAGTTTGGACTTAAGAAAAAAATTCCAAGTCAACCGTTAAGTTTTCCAACTGTAACTGGATTTTCCAAACTTTGGGGGGGCGTTACGCCCCCCACGCCCCCCTATTATTTACGTGCCTGGTGACTGTTGAAAAGAGAAAAAGTTTCGTCAAAGTGGGGTCAGAGTCTATTTGTCATGATCCGCATTCCGTAATTCAAGTCAAAAGGCTTGCCAGTATAGTCAGAATTTACGGACCAGGGCATGCGGTAGACCTGAGCGCAAGCCTTGCTAAATACATGATGATTTGCCGGGACTAACTTTCTGAAACTTCACACATGGAAGCATCTTCAATTCTAACAACTCTCACAGCTCACTATTTTCATCTTAGTTAACTATGAGAGTAAAAAATGAGCAGAAACTGTTGCTCCTGTTCGCTCAGGCTCTGCAGTGTGTTAACAATTTCGCAATGTGGAGAGCTCCTTCTTGCGGGAATCCCCAGCTTCATTATAGCATAAAAAATTCTTACATTAGGTGGGCATTAGGTGATGCCTTTTCTTGAGGAATATGAATAAGAATAAAATCTTTTGCAAAGCAGTTTTAGCACTAGGAGTTATTCTGAAAAGTCTTGCTAAACAATTGAGCTTTTTTCAAAAACTTTCGCATGGATGATGATTTTTCCCTTGGCCCCTCTTCACTTTCCAACCTCTGTCGGAGCCTCTGATGCTAAGAATAGACACCTTGATTGATTAGAATTAGAGTACAAATAATTTGTTACTTTGAAAATCAAAATTTGCTATCACGATTATCATTAATTACCGCTTGTATTTTTTAGAAACTGAAATTACCATTACATTTATTCAACATAGCCGTATATTTTATGTTACCGCATGCCTAAGTTCTGCGCTCACGCTACGCCACTGAATCGAAGCTATTTGCGAAAGATATATTGTTTCTTAACTACTACAGGGATCACTTGCGTGTGCCTGAGCAAAGTAATTGTAAACCAAAATTGTAATTGAAAACCAAAGGCCGACCCTTATCGATGAAGAATCCTACCATTGCGTTGCTGATCATACCATAACTTGTTGCTGATGGACGAACTTGTGCCCTGAAACTTGCCTGTGTATTTAGTATTTCACCAAAACCTCTTGCTCATGGAATTATACTCTTGAAAATTTCTTGTTCTGTCAAAATCACACAATAACCTGTTGCTGATGGATGGGATTTTTCAATAAAAATTGCCTGTCGTCAATTATGGTTTATTCAACATTGCAACTTTACTTGTTGCTGAGAGGAACAAACTTGTACTTTGAAAACTTGCCTGTTGGCTGTTTATTCAATATTTCACCAAAACCTGTTGTTGATAGAAAGAATTGTGCTCTTAAAAATGTCTTGTTTAGTCAATGTTACAACACAACTTGTTGTGTATAAATGAAATTCAAATTGCATCCGGCAATTTGCCTGTTACTTGATATTACATGATAACTTGTTTGCTGATAAATCAAATGGTACCCTAAAATTTGCCTGCATTCAATATTACACCAACTCATTTACTGACAAATGAAATTGTGCCCTTAAATTTGCTTGTTTATTCAATATTACTCTATAATATTTGTTAATACATGTAATTGTACCCTGTAATTTGCCTGTTATTTAATATTACACCATGGCTTGTTGCTGATAATGAAATTGTACTCTGGAATTTGCCTGTTATTGGAAATTTGACCATAATTTACTGATTGATAGAATTTACAAATGATTTTTAATCACATTATATATGTAGCTTCCACACAGCCAACCTTCTCATTGCAGTTTGATTTCTCCAGGCTTTCTGTTGCCAGGAAAACTATGGGGTTTCTTAAGCATGAAATACCAAAGTTATAGGAAAGCCCTTGATGTTGGGCTTGGACTTTTCTTGTTGATGTTTATGGCATGTTATAACTTCAACAGGGATCAAAACTTTTTGTATATGCTAAACACACCAACCTTGATACATTTGTTTTAGATATGTAAAAATTCAGCTTATAAAATTGAGGCTAAATATAAAATTCTGAACCAAAAAACAAACATCCCAACATTCTCTGTACCATAAACAAGGAAAGGCCTACCTATCATTGAGGGCTTATCTTGCCTAATTCATCTAAATTCAGAAACATCATCAAAAATATCAATAATTAATAGTAAGAGAATAGATATTTCTTAGCCATTGCTGACTTGAATAAGCTGATTTATCAAAAGTTTAGATTTTGTAAAAATATTTGTAGATATAATGTTCTCTCATATGCAATGTTCTTTTCAAGTGTGATCAGTAGCGTTTGTTAGGGAGTTTCAACTGCACAATTTTTCAAAAACATGATCCCAAAGATATGTCCAAAAACACAAGATTGGAGAATGAGGTGGAAAGAGCATTTAGATGTTGAAGTCTTTGACAGAATTGATTGTGATCTAAACAAGAGCTATTTGATTCAATATAGTAAAATGGGCGTTACCCCCCTTTTCCAAGCATCTATAGGGTGTGGTTGTGGGTAGAGGGTACTGACCTTGGAGCTAAGTCATCACGACTCCTCAATTTTCAGCGAAGGCCCAACGCCCTTGCTCTTAAATTGAAGGCTAAAATGGGCTTTATCAAGATACTGCTTTGTAGCATGGTTAAAATGTTCATCTTTTCTAACACCTTTTTGCGAATCTTTGGCCTGGGGTTCTGTTTATACAAAATAGGTATGAAAGCAGTGTTACGCGGCAAATAAAAGTGAGTCAACTTATGAGCCCTCCTCCCCGCCCCCTTTTGAAAATATTCTATTCAAAATGTTGCTCGTTAACTTTCCAACCTTTACAGTACCAGTTTACAAGCTTTGTTAAGACAGAAACGTCGATAACATTACTAAAGTCAATCTTTGTAGCAACACCACATTCAATACCCAGCAAAGCCAAGTCATTCAGCTAGCCATCATTCCTTGTCATTTTGACGGACCCACTTTGCTAGCCTGTGTTCAAGACCGTCGAAAAGACGCTTTAAACATACAAAAAAGCAGAATTAGTTTCAAACACATTAATATCTAACTTCAAGCACCTTGGCACCTTTACGGGAGAATCATCTTTGGCCTTACCTGGAATAATGCATCATTGTTATATAGTCATTTGTAGCAGCATTACCACAAAGGAAGCAATATTTTTTCCACCTGAGCTCAGTAAACTTGATTGCAGTCTTTTAGAACAAGGTGTTGCAATAACAACTTAACTTTTACAAGGTACCTTTCTTACGTTAAAAAATCTCGACGACAGTTTCGATGAACTAAAACGTTACCAATTGGAGTTTTTTTAACTCTCTCTGTTGAATAATTGTTTAAATCAAGTCTTTCGTGTCTTACACTGTGCTTTATAATGTTCGAGGCACCTTTTCAGAATGCTGAAAATATTTATATGATTCTTATTGTGCAGGTTCGTAGGCTTGTCTAGAATGACAAAAATTGTAAAATGAACACTTGGTGAAGAAAACTGCCAACATTTCTGTTATAAGTTGTAAATGACCTTATACATGCAAAAGTGTTTTGTTCCAAATTTTTTATTGAATCAAATTGAAGTGGTGCTTTTCTAAAGAATCTTTGGGTTTCAAAATATTTTATACTTTTTTTAATACGAATATTGAGGCTCGAGAATAATTTTGAAATAATGCCAGACTCAAGCTTCATTAAGTTTTGAATTTTCACTTTCATGCTACATACATGTTTTAAAATACACTTATCCGCTCTGTGAAAAATTAAGTCTACAGTGTAACTCAGTGATTATATTTTGTATTTCAAAACCCAATTATTGTTTTTGTCGTTTATTGTTTACATTTATGATGAATATTTACTTGCGTAATTTTTACGTGAATTTTTACTTTTTACAGCAACGCTTCTTACTTGCATCCCTTTTGTAAAAATAGTTCAATTGTTCTTTACATTCTGAACAATATGAACCAGAACATTCGACCGGTTCGCATGCTAAATTTGCCTTGGTACGTTTTTGCATAACCAAAATTGCCATGCATTTGTGTACCTGGACCGTTTTGCATAAGGTTACCGAAACGCATATGACACTGGCATGGAGACATGGTAAATACTGGTTTTCCGCTGGGGTTTGTCTGTTTCCATGTGATAAGCTTGTTTTCATGTGATCAGACATTCTTTGTCGAAAGCGAAAGGCATTTGAAAAGCCTTTGTGGCATTTGAAAGGTACAAATGGGGGAAGAAGTTTTGAAATCTTTTGTAGAGAGCAAGAGAAAAGAGAGAGAAAGAAACAACCTTTTTAGAAACGGCGGAACAAAGAGCACTTACAACATCGTGTGTGCAGTTTGCTTGACAGCCAATCAGATTAGCGAACCTATCATAATGACTCAGCAATTTTTGCAATTCGGGTATACGCTTCCTTTTTACCATGACTCGATGCCTTTAACTCGATCAAATAATTATGTTTTTTTTAAGTTCTATAAGCGTCAACGAAGTTCTAGATAAGCACAACATTAAAATTGACCCTAAAAAGCGCTACCAAAAGTATTTTTTATTAGCTTCAGACAAGTACAGTTTCTAGAAGCGTGAAACCCCCACCCTAAACACATGTCATCATTGATTTTGGGAAAGGGGTAAAAATGCCAGTTTCGATTCGTCTACAAAAACAAATTTTATCAAAATCCGGTAATTTCAGTAGAAAAAAATAAACTACTTGATTGAAAAGACTCCTGTTCTGATAAGATGACGCTGATTTTGGCTCGGAGGCAGGAAGCTTTTGTAAGAATTCAAAACTTCTTCCTCCATCAAGATTCTTTTCTCGCTCCGTTGAACTCGATATTAAAATATTCTTTTGTCAATTTTACTTGCCCTACCAAACAGTGATTGTGATTTCTCCTCGCCCTCGCATCCCCTATTCAAATAACGCAGTTAGGGAATTATTTTCATTCAATTTCAAATATTGCCTTAATTAGGGAGATAATGAATCTATTCGTTTCCAAACTTCCAATAAATTGGGGCTGCACGATTGGTTTTCTCACAGCATCTAGGGCTTCGTCTGAGGTAAGAGCAATGTTTTTTCTGACATTAAATGTTTGACCGCTTTAGACCGATTCCTGATGGTTAATCCATCAGACAAATATTGAATTTCTTTTCGATGATTTTTTGTGTGTTGCACTTTAATTCCAATCCATGATTGAAGATTCTTTGATTTCATTCAGGAAAGCTGAAAAAATGAAGATTTTTGCCGTACTTCTTCTTCTTGGGATCTTGGTCGGCGCGTTTGGTAAGCAATTTGCTGAATAATGTCTGATATTCTAGATGATATCTGCAAATTTAAATTTCTAGGTATCCACGAACTTCATAGACAGTTTCTGGGAAAACATCGTTTGTAATCGTTTCAAGCTGGTCTTTCATAAAGTAAGGCAAGATGTGAATTATTCTCTGTTTTGCAGCTGACCCGGTACACCCGGATGAGGACGCCGCAGAGGGTGTAGACCTGTTAGCCGAAGAAGGAGATTCGCCCGATGAGGATGAGGCGGTTGGCGAGGACCCCATAAGTGAAGAGGACACTGAGACCGAAGATGAAGAAGGTGATACAGAAGAAGACCCCAAGTCTTTTGAGTCTGACGTTGTCGAAGATTCAGAGCTAGCTGACGAACAAGGTGAGACTATTGCCCCTTAGCGAGAAAAACATGCAAAGCAAAACCATGGTAGCCGCTATTTCCACACGTACATCTGCCTTTACAAACAAATCCCAGTGTTACATGGATAGCAAAGGCCGTATTTTTTAAATTTCCATTATGGTTGTTTTTCAGAGGACCCACGTAAACGACTAATATTATGTTCCGTGCGCCGTTCACATGTTTGCTACTATTACCGCAGATGGTTCCGTCCGATCACGAAATGCTCGTGTTCTCGCTGCCCACGTCATTATTCTAGAGAGTGTGGAAAAAAGGTCCAAAAGTGCCGTAGAAGACGATCCTGTTTCTACACGTCACGTTGTTCCTGCAAAGGTGAGACTATTGCCCTTATACGGGAAACAAAGAAAGCCAAGCTCGAGTTGATAGAATTATTAGACTAAAATACAATCTTTTGATAAACGCACTAAGGCCTGGTTCAAACGTCGCGCTTCTCATGTGCCGAACCTAACTCGAGAATTAAGTACATGAGGGGCGCGACGTCTGAATCAATTTGGTACGGCACATTTAGTTAGTAGCGGCAGACTAGTTTGGATCGGCAGAGCTTGCCGAGCTGCACGGCTCCAGCACGGCACGGTTTCAAGCGTCGAACTTGTCATGTACCGAACTCAATGCTTAATTATATTTAATTTATTTTCCTTCCCAAAATTCATTTCTTTCTTGGAGGGCGCATGCGTTTCAAACAAATATTTGAGATTGCGCGCTTTAACCAAGATACTTCATGTAACAATCCTGAAAGCCATTTGGCGCGACATGATTAAGTTCGACGTTTGAAACGGGAGTCGCATTAAACATGCTCAAGTGTCGCTCCAAACAGAGTTAGGTTCGGCACATGAGAAATGCGACGTTTGAACCAGGCCTAAAACGCTTAACGATATTTTATGCCTATTATTTTATGGGGCACTCATTATGCTGACTGGGGGTTGGCGGAGGCCTTAGGGACATACGAAAGAAGTGGCTTCTCTGCGAGCGAAGCGTTCAGAAAATTTTCACGGCCACGCTTTTTAGATTAGCTTACAATACATTTCAGAATATTTCTTGCGGGTAATTTTCTTGCAATCGTTTAAAACATTTTGTTATTTTTAAGGCATGCTCTTATTACGTTTGATTAATTACAGTCTTTATGAGGCCCCATAGACCTCGGCGTATTCTTTTAAAATTAAGCAACAAAAGGATCTGTCGGATAATTCTTTTCTTTACATCTTTTCCTTAATCATTTTATTTGCTTAAAAATGTATTTTTGAAAAAAGTGGGGGGGGGGGCTGGGGGGCTGAAGACACAAGCTCTCCACCTGGTGCCACCTATGTTTCATCGGTTGATCTCGAACGGAAAAAGTTCTTGACAAATCATAGAAAATGTACTGCGCTTCTTTAGGCATTCCTGATAAATATTATTTAAAAAATTATATTTCGTATCCCGTTTTTTTAGAAGCAATTTGATGGAATGATTATCACACTATCCCCATTACGACGAATGTAATTGAAAATAATTGCATTTTCATACAAAACTTTGTATTTTCTGTATTGCGTCGCCTCTCATTATTTTTAGGACTGCTTTTTAACAAACAACTTTTTTCTTTTGAACTTATACCTTTCCGAGCTACAGTTCACAAGGTCATTTGAGTCAAAACTTAAATTTTCACAAATGTTATAAATTTTCTCTGATTAAGCTAGCTTCCTACCAACAGTTTTAAATTTTCCGACTGTCCTCAAATTTTCCGACTAGATGAAAGATTGGGGGGTGTCACACCCCCCACACCCCCAGTATTTACGTGGCTGTCGGTGAATATTCAAACCTGTCACTTCGTTGGCAAGTAAGAACTGAACACTTCCCTAGAGCAAAAAAGCTAGCACTCGCACTGCTTACACTTCTTAGATTAAGAAAAAATAAAGAACAATCCAGCCTCAGATTTTCGAAAAAATTAAGAGCAGTCAACCTGAATTTAAATTTACTGGTTCTTATAAAAAGAAAGAGTGTACATAGATAGCAATGGTCACTTTTTTTAAATTTCCTTTATGGTTGTTTTTCAGAGATTAAACGTCGTAGAAGAGAGTGTTCCGTGCACCGTTCACATAGCTGCACATATTACAAATGGTTCTTTTGGAACAAAGGCTGCTCGTGTTATCGCTGCCCAGCTGGTTATTACAGAAAGTGTGGTAAAAAGGTCAGAAGGTGCGATGGAAGATTCTGTTACTACCGGTCACCTTGTTCCTGTAAACTTGTACCACGTAAACGAAATTGCCACCGTTTTCTTTTTCACGCCTGTAGTTATCTCAAAGATTGCGTGAATGGCAAATGTTCTACTCTCCGAAAATGTTATTGCGATTGTCGCAAAGGCACCGTACACACGTGCTTTCGCCACGGATTGTGCGCCTGTAGACGACCCAGACGGCGGTGGGGTTGATCAATTTACAGGTATGCAGTGAATACCCTTTCAATGTGTTATGCTTTTTTATTTCTAATTGGTAAAGATGGATATGACATACTAAGACCCCGTTTACACTAGAGTGTTTTATCCGGATAAATTTTCATCCGGATAAAAATTTATGCGGATAGGCTCTCCGTCTACACGAGCGAATTTTATCCGTGTAGATATTTATCCGCTTTGCCGTACAAATATTTATCCTGCTACGAAAGCGAATAAATTTTTGTCCGGATTGAAAATTATCCGGCAAAGGGGAGTCTAAATAGTTTTATCCGGATAAAATTTTATACGCAGACACAGTGAGGCTATTCTGTTTCATATTGAGACCATTTAAAAAAATTGGCGCGCTTTTGTTAATATTTCATGTCATTTTCGCTGTTTCCTGAACTATCATGGATGAAAGTTCACTTCAAAACATCACACTATCTCTGTTTGCATTTTTAAGCTCTGTAGCGCTGCAGCAAGGCTAAACGCTCTGCTAGCTGTTCTATCTGAGAGATCCTATAGAGCTAGCCAACGCAACTTGGAATCAATAGTTGACGATAGCAATTCACGGCTACAAAGAATAAGCCGTATTCTGAAAGCTTCAAGAAGAAATCGACGACCACGCCGAATCTGGGAAAGACCTTGGAGCAGCAAAGCAGTTTCCTAATCTGTCCATGTGAAGTTCTTATCAGTCTTCTTGCTACTTCCCGTCGATGTATTCTCCGATTTCTTTGGCATTGTCGACTTTATGACAGAAATATGAACGTGTTCACTCTGACATCAATGAAAATTATTTTCGCGCGTTCTTAAATCAAGGGTTGTGCGCATGCCCAATTAAAAAGCTCACCATTTAGTTTCACCGTGTAAACGGAGGGGCTAAGCGAATAAAATTTTATCCGGTACAACGTAAACGGATAAAAATTTATCCGGATAAAACACTCTAGTGTAAACGGGGTCTAAGTCTCTCTCAAGCAGTGAGTTTGACTTTTTCTAAGCGATACGTTTAACAAAAAGCAACCTTTCCCTTAACAGAGTGCAAATGTATATATGAAATGATTTACACAGATTCTGCAATGTCAGTTGCATTGAACTGACGACTTGCACGTTATGAGCAAATATGATGGAAGTTTATATAACGTTTTTTTATATTCAGTGATCTCCTAAATTAAGTCGTTTAATTAACTAAATTAACTCTTCCTCGATTTTAAATGCAACGGATCATTCTGTTAACGCACGGTTGACGAAATGAACATAGCACCATTATTTCAGGAAGAAATTCATACCTTCACTAACACTTTCTTTTCTTCTTCTTAGTTTCTGGCACCAGATGCTTGCATTGATGTAGCGATCAGGAGTTTGCTGAACACTTTTTGTAGCTTTATTTACGCATCGTTTTACTCTTTATATTCGAACAAAGTGAATGAACAGTAATTTGACGCCTATTTCTATTGTTGCATATCTTCATTAGGAAACTTAGCCCTGCCTCAGTAGCTACCTGATTAATGTTGGCGGGTTCTTAAATCATTCAGGGGTCGGGGATGTGATGGTGAGCAAATTTCTTCAAACTTTTAATCAGGAAATTTCTTCATACTTTCCTACTCTGTCCAGCAGATTCCAGAACAAGTTGCAAGGCTTAGTTAAGATTTTTGGTAGTGGAGAAGCATTGGAAAAATGCCTTCCAAGGTCACAATCACAACAGCTGAACGAGAATAAGACTTTAGGCGGTGGCTGGGAGGAACATTTAACTGCCAATATTACATAGCAGGTGCTCCACTCCTTTCCCCCTCCACCCCTCTTGTTTGCAATAACAGGTCAAAACTTTGCAATAATTATAGCTTTATGGGCAGTGGCGGACTGACCCCTTTAAAATCTGACAAAAAGGGCCCATCTTTGCAGAAAAAGGGCCCCATCTTATCAGAAAAAGGGCCCCATCTTTGCAGAAAAAGGGCCCCATCTTTGCAGAAAAAGGGCCCCATCTTTGCAGAAAAAGGGCCCCATCTTTGCAGAAAAAGGGCCCCATCTTTGCAGAAAAAGAACCCCATCTTTGCAGAAAAAGGGCCCCATTTTAGGAATGCAGGGCCTTAAGATGTCCCATTACGAATAATAAATATCATGGATTACATAAAAACTGAGGTTGAATAAACGTCATAGCATGTGGTTATAAAATTGATTGTGTTGATTGTGATTACCTTTTTTAGGTTATGAAAGGTTAATAGAGATTTTTTAACATGATGGAATTTTCTGAAATTTTTGACTTTTCATAGACCCAGGTTCAGTTATTCTGCCCGGCATTAATTGTAGAGTTCACTTAAATTTTTGTCAGTTAGCAAAAAAGTAAGGCGTGATTCAGTAACAAACTCGGCGTTTACTTTTTTTTTTCTCAAGCCATAGCATAGGATAATGCGATGCCAATGATACTTCAACGGGTGTTGCTGCATCGTCTTAAAGATTTGTTAACCGAATAACCTAGTTTTTTGCTTGCACTGGACTGTTTAGTATCAAACACGAACGCGTAAGATATTGCCTCGTGGAATGAAAAATTGACATGAAAAAGATGTCAATAAAATGGCAAGAATTAGCCAAATTGCACATAATGGACGAATAAACTTCGAGTCGCAAGTGGTTCTTAGAAAAAAAGTCAAAGTTGAAGTCAAAAAAGGGGACAGGACTGATTACTGGTTTCTTGGAATGCAAATTAAAGAAATGCAACTTCTGGTAGCATTTGTTTTAAATGGTCTTCGGAATGATAAACCTAAATGTTTTGTAAAAAATATAGTTAGTAAGCACGTATTAAGTCTAAAATACAGACGGCAAACCAATTTAGCGGATGATCACACAAAAACTAAAGGGAACCTTCTTGCTATGATTTAGCTATAATATCATGATTAAGCTATCAAATTTTCGTATATAGAAATGATTCGCTTTGGCTTTATTTGTCGCTAAGCAAGTTTTTTCATTTTGAATTTTTGATAGAAATTTGTACAATTCAATAGACGTTCAATGTATTCCGCATGTAAGCCACAAATTCTACAAAGCGAATCAGTGTACCTCCCTTTCTAGTTTGCTATTTTTAGGTCTGCAATTTTTAGTTTAAGTTTCAGTAAAGATAAGGCTTCCTCACACCTCAGATATTCTGTAATTTAAACTTACTATCCTTTATGCATCTGAAGTTAGTTTTCTTATAACTTTTAACTTTGTATCTTCGAGAAAGTCCCTTGTGAAAAATAACTGAAATCCAAATCAGAAAGAATTTCTATTATTTAATGTTAAATTTCAATTAGTGTACTCAGCGCCCATTTGTAATCAACAGCTCAACTTTGCTATTAGTGCTACATATGTTATGTTGCTTAGAAATTGATGAAATGCTCACTTGACCACACCCTGATTTTCAGACCAGACCCACCTAGGCCCCTCCAGTTCTTTGTGGCCGCTTAAAAATTCTGAGCCAGACCGCCACTGTTTATGGGAACCCGTTTTTATGCATTTTTATGCATCTTGTTTAATGATAAGTTGTATTTTCTAAGTCCGATTCATATTTTTGTTCTGTTTATATGAAAGAAATGGTTAGATTTGCATTTTCATGTTTTTCTTGGTCGTCCGTTTCGACCAAACTCCAATCCAAGTTTCACAGGTCTTTTTTCTAAAGGCGCATAAATTATAATTGAGCCAAAAGATATCATCGGGGACTGCGACTGTGTGAGTCGGATATACAGGGTGGGGACTGCCTCACTCCGTAAATTTACAGAATACTTCCAAACAATGCCTCTTTTACACAAAAAAAATGTTTCTTTGGCTCATGATGCTGGAGGATTATGTTACAACCAAAATTTTGGGTAATTTTTCCAAAAAATCCTTTCGAAGAAAGATCAAAATTTTTGAAAAGTTTTCTAAGCATTATCAAATTTTAGAGACCTTTTGTATTAGATCAACTGTTTGTTGGAAAGAACCGTTTTTAATGTAATAATTGAAAAATGTAATAATTATAACCGCTGTAAAATGAAAGCAAGGGCTATCTCGGCCTATATCGACATTTAGCAGAGATTTGCCCCGGCGTGTTCAATTTCATTGTTCAGTGTTGTACCCGAGCTCATCCGGAGATCTAATAGAGATCCTTTCCTCCAACTTATATCTGAACTTTTCATACCCTTTGCTCTGGGACATTATACTAAATGATAATAAACTTTATACAAAAAACAAAGTGAACAGGAGCTCCTGCTCTGCTACACTATGATTCTGTCACACTCTATTATCTAAAATTGAACTTATTAGGTTCATTTATTTGAGAGTGCTGAAGTTACAGTTACAATATTCTTATTTTTGCAGGTTTATAGGTTTGTCAAGAATGGTAATAAGTGTAAAACGAACACGTTGTGAAAAAAACTGCGAACATTTAAATGTTGCAAATGGTCTTATACATGCAAAAGTCTTTTGTTCCAAAATTTGTATTGAATCAAATTGAGGTGGTGCTCTTTCTAAAGAATCTTTGGGTTTCATAGTTATATCAATAGACAATTTACATGGTTTTATAATTAGATAAATGATTTTATGTATTAAGCGCATTAAATTCAGCTTGAATATCAAGATCACCTGATCCTTCCTTGATACGTCGACGATTCGTTGAGAGATTTGAAGTATCTTCCACTGCTATCAGAAGCAAACTCGTTGCTTTATCTCAAACTAAGTATTTTTTCAAAATCACTTGCATTTTAAGCATATACCAAGAGACAGCTGCGCTGTGAACTGCTAAATATTCCACGAAACGTGTTCTTTTAGATCATCAAACTTAAACTGCCGTCGGTTGCGTTTGATACTTCGTGGGCGATATCCAGTTTTTTCGTAAAAATCGAAGCCAGGTCGCAGGGAAATGAATTCAGTCAGTTTCAAGAATGCAAAATTCTAGACACCAAAGGGGAATTTTTGAATATTCACTATTTCAGAAACAAATCTACTATCACCTAAGATGTTCAATGGCTAATATCAGCTTCAAGCTTGGGAAATTGTAGAGATGCTTATATTTAGATCATTCTTAGAGATAAGATAATTGCAATAAAATAAACATGCTTTGTATAGTTTGGTATGTATCATCAAGGTATTAGGTGGAGCAGATATAGAGAATCTCCTTTGTTATGGTGCTGATCCTTGTTGCCATCGAACATTTGCTCCATTTTCTGAAAGAAATATCATCTCGCTACGGCAAAACTTTGGAACTTTAGGACTGATGGTTGAATGTTTACCAAAGAGACCCATGTCTATGCATCTAAATAACTTTTATCATTGAAATTCGTTTCCTTCCTTGGCTCGTTTCCTTCCTTTCCCACTACAGAATAGAAAAATGCATGAGGGAGTAAACAATAGCATTTGTGAGTAAACAGATTCATGCATAAGTTGATGTCTATATTATACTAAATCTTATTTGTAATTAATTGATATTTGTTAGTTTTTGTTGAAACAATTACTTAAACCAAATGTAAATAAATAAGTTTTTATCATTGCTGCATATTATCATTCTTATAGCTTATATCGTTCCTTCCCTGAAATTAGGTTAACCAAACGACCCATCTGTTATCTCCCCATTCGAGAGACAAAATGAATTTCAATAGTCTCCGGCTTTAGACAAGCAACAATATACCTCTTGAAAAAGCTGATTCAGATACAGCTGCTGAAAAAATACCACGTCTCTTCTAACTCTCAATATCTTTATTTGATATAACCGCAGATTTAAAATGTATATCAGCGTGCTATGAAAGCATAAACATAAGTTATATCAGTGAGAGAGAATTTCAGCATTTGGAAGGAATATCAATTGTGTGGAACATCCAACAATTAGAGATTATGGTTAAGGTGAAACGAGGAAACTCATTTGAACAGAACAAAAACCGGTCGTGATGAGTGATCTTTTAAATAATTTTCATTAGAATCATTCTTAAATTTGCCAGAAGAGCTAAGATCTGAATTTAATGGTCTTTTCCGAAATAAATAAAGATACATAATTGTACAAATAACCAACATGTTGATATGTCATCCCAGAACAGGCAGGACCTAAAATGAGCGTGACCAAAATCCAGATAACTCAATGCGTGACAAGACGTGGTTGTCACCGGCGCAGCATATTTTGAGATGAACGATTATTCTGGTTGACTATGTTACAAATAAAAGTGCTTCCCCGGCGTGTCCTCTCTCATTCTTCAGTGGTGTACACAAGCTCATTCGAGAGGTCTAAAAAACATTCTTTCCTCTGACTTATATGTGAACTTTTCGTACCCTTTTCACTGAGACATAATACTAAATGATAATTAGGTTTATACAGAAAACATAGTGAGCAAGAATTTCTGCTCTGCTACACTGTGACTCTGTCACACTCTTTTGTCTAAAATTGTACTTATTGGGCTTCTCTTTTTGAGAATGCTGAAGTTCTAGTTACATGATTCTTA